GATATTGACAGAGGCCGGGCTTGGGCCTGCATTTTTTGTGTTGTTGGGTAGCCTCGAAAAGAAGCTGGAAAAACAATAAATCCCCAATTAGTCAATTCGGCTGCCACCATAAAATACCACGGCCTGGGTGGCTTAAACAATACAAATTAATTTTCTCACAGTTCCAGAGGCTGCAAGCCCAAGACTGGGGGGCCAGAATGATGGGGTTCTGGTGAGAGCCTTCTTCCTGCCTGTCTCACGAACTGCTCTCAGAGGAAAGAGAGCAAGAAAGAGTGAGAGAGAGCGGACCCTTGTCTTCTCATGGGAACGTCAACCCCACCCACGACGAGAACCCACGCTCTCATGACCTAATCTAACCCGAATTCCTCCAGATACTACCATGAGAAGGCTTATGGTTCAACATATGAATTTGGGGTTGGAGGCCCAGAGACACTGGTCCTCACACCCTCGCACGGGGGGGTCACGCGGAGAGTCTTTAAACGGTGGCACAAGTTAAGCCTGTCAATTACACCTGCATGTGCTGACTCGTAATAAAGCCATCACGCCTCTCCTCTAAATGTGCCCGCTGTAATATAAATGCTGAAGCAATGTGAAACCATCACTCTTTTAACAATTATGAGTGTGCTCATTAGGTCAGAAATTTTCTATTTCTTTCTCTTATTTTTCAAAACTATTTCCATCCTCTCTCAAAGCAATGTGCTTTTATGTGCAAAAGTCCTTCATGTTTTTATCCTACTCTGAAATACAGACTGTATATAAACTGAAATTTAATTTTTTGTACTTTATCCCACCAGGGCAAAAAGAAATCCCTTCTGGATTGAGTTACCATTGTAATTATTGCTGCATGGAAGAATTCATAATAAAACAATATCTATTATAAATCAGATGAATTATTCTTAGTCAGAACATCATTTTACTGGAAATGCATCTTTAAGAAGATGGATGGGAGGGTCCTCCCTGGTGGTGCAGCGGGTTAAAGCACAGTACTGAGAAGCTAAAGCCACTTCCGCATGAGTTCGATTCCTGCCTGCCCCGGAGGTGACCACATGGCGCGGCAGACCTCTCCTGACCCGCCCGCTGCTCCCCTCAGCAGTGTACTTCGTCGATCTGCCTGTCCTGCACCCCACTCTGTCCCTGGTGAATCCTCTCACCCTCCGCATCTCTGAACTGTACCCCAGTTCTGTATGAATAAATAAATAAATCTTTAAAAAAAAAAATGGATGGGAAACCTCTCGACTTGAATGACGGTTTCCCTGAATTCAGTATTTCCATAGCCCCCCCCACCCTTCACCCCAACCTCCTCAGACACAGCTAGAGCAGGGCACCCCAGCAAGACCCTGACTAGGATTAAGCAAGAGAAGGCAACTATGAAGAATTATGGAACACCTGGCATGAACTGCTGGGGGTTCCTGGATTTGGGTAAGAGGTGATGTTCAGAAAATGGACTCCCTTAAAACTATCTGTACTCAGAACCCCTGGACAAACCTTTGAATCCCCCAAGAACATGCATTCTGGCTCAAAGGGACCTGCCTGCCTTCAAGCCATCAAATATGGGGGTGGGGAAGGCCCCCAAGCCACAAGTTAGATCCAGCACGTAGACTTAGAAAGTCAGTATTCCCAGATGGAAAAGTTTGTAAGGTTCTCTCAGCTGTCTGAGGAAGCAGATACAAAGTTCTGAAGCAAGAATATGCGTCAAAAGGAATATATATACACATACATACATATACATACATATACATATATACACACACACACACACCCATCCCCCAAAGCACAGACCTTTACGTGAGTGTGGGTGACACAGAGAGCGGAAGGGGGTGGATAAGCGGGCAATCCTGGCCTCCTAGAAGCCCCCCAAAGACTTCCCCTGGTCACTGGCTGCTCTGGACCCCCAGCCCTCACAGGCGGGCTAGCTCCTGTCTGAGCTCCAGACTAGATGCCTTTCAATCTACTTCCCCCAAGTTGAAGTTCTCACAGGCTGGTAAATGCAGTGAGCTTATTTGCAAGCCAGGGTCATATCTGCCTAGCAACCCCACATGAAGGCTAGAAGGACTGAGCCCTGACAGAGAACAGGCAGGCCAACTCTGCACAAAGGAATTTGTTCTCATGCAAATGACCCTGAGCAAGACGGCTAGAGAGCAAAGGGGGATCACTCTCCTGGGCCAATTTATTTCCCGGGATGTTGAGGGACATTTGAAGGGCATGGTGGCGGCCTTGCCCACTGTAAATGAAGGCCGGAGGGGCTCCTCCCAGCCACCCAGGCACGGCCTGGGAGGCTGGGAGGAGAGCTGAACCCTTCACTCAATTCCTGACTTTTCTGGTTCTGTACTCCAGACTCCAAAGGTCCTTTGTTCCCATTGAGAAGGAAACAGAGTTCGTTTTGTCTGGGGGGGTTTGATTAGCATGGCAATGCTGTGCGTTCCCTCGAGTTGCTGTCCCTGGAGAAAGGGCAAAAAACAGGTTTTCACGCTCTATCTCATTAGGTTTGAGGGAACAAGGTGAAGCCAGCTTCTCCCAGAGGGGGGCAGAAGTCACTGGCTTGTGGCTGACAAGACAGCACAGAAAGAGGTTTCCTGCCACCTTCCATTAGCCAAAGGCAAGGGGCAAACGTGTTGCAGCTGCAAAGAGAGCTGTGTGTTATGAAACCTGGGGTGAGCCCCCAGAGCATGCCTCAACTTTCCTCATCTGTAAAATGGGGGTCATGCAAGCTGCCTGCAGAAGGCTGCTGCTGGGGTCACAATTAGGTCACACGCGTGCCACTTAACCCAGTGCTTGGCACAAAGCAAAGGTGCAACTGGCCTGTTATTTAGTAATAATCGTGACACTGCATCATTAGCAGCACAGCCACGAGCCTGATGCCCCTCCACGACACCAACAGCCAGCAGCTTCAACGGGTCAGATCCTCGGAGGTGACACCCGATCAGTAAGTTACTTCTAGGGCTTTCGGTATCATTTGCGGAGTTTTTTTTAAACGAGAAGCTGGAACGAGACTTTTTGGACTTGCCTAGAGTCACTGCTGAGATACCAAGTGCACTCCTGGGTTCCTAAGCAAGACTCAAAGCAGTAGAAGCTGTCGTGAGCCCTCCATTTCCACACTGCATGCAGTGGCGGACCCTGGGCACTGGAAGATTCCAAATGCCCAGGACGACACAGGCCACTTTGGACATTGCTGTCACTGGAGTGACCAGTCAGTTTCCGAATACAGAGCTGTGGTGGCTTTTTGAAAAACTACTAGGAAAGGTGGGCCAAGGGGGGGTGGGGCCAGCCACTGGACTAACAAGCCCCCATCAGCATTAAGGTAGAATAAGGCAGCCAGAGTGACCCCCACACTGCCGCCACCCTTAAAGTGACCCCTCAATCCTGAGACTATCACTACTGTCCTTTACAGATTCGGAAACGGACACTCTACGAAGAGAAATCCAAACCTAATCCGTGTTGCCCGGCTGTCCAGTACTGGCACTTTACAGGAACACACCCGCTCCCCACCTGTCCCCAACCCGGAGCTGGAAGCAACCAAGAATGGCATTCGACCCGGTGGACCCTGGCCCCAGATTAGGAGAGAAATCAGGCAGCGAGCAAGGAAGGGTGTTTGCTAAATTCAGATCGGCTCGCGGCGGCGATCGCCCAAGCACACGCTCCCACACCCGGCTCTCCAGAGTTTCCGACCCGGTCTCCTCCAAGCCCGCACAGGGAGCACCTAGCTAAAGTCGACAGAGTAACCCCGAGATGAGGACTCCGAACAGGTCTTGAATTGGCCCTGGGCACGGGAGGCGGAGACCCGGAAGCCAGGTGTGCGCGCCCAGGGGCTCCGGAACACCTGGGACCCGACACTGCTTTGTGCTCCGGGCTTGCCGAAACCGAGGCTTCCGTTCTTCCGCGCCGGAGTTCACAGTGACCCTGGGGTCGGGGCTTCGGGATGAGGGGCAAGTGCTCCCCAAACAGCTGACCCTCAGCCCCCGTCCCGTCCCGGGGTCTGCAGGCGGCGAGGCAGTCGCGCACCTGTGGGCGTCGTCGCCTCCCGCCAGGAGGGTGCGCGCGCCCGGGGCGGGGATGCTGACTCAGCCCGCGGCTCTCAGCTCCGCGCCCCGCGATGCTGCAGCCGCCGCTGCAGCCGCGGGGGGAAGCTGGACACCCGGAGCAGCCGGGCCGGCACGCTCCCCGGGCCCCACTGCGGCACTCCTTCCCCCCACCCCCCACCGGAAAGGGAACTGCGGGGGTGCGCGAGTTGACGAAATTGGGGAAGTGGGAGCTGGAAGAGGAACTCGGGGTCCGCGGCGCCGCGCGCGCAGCTCACACCCAAACTG